TACCTCTGCATGGACGCCCATCCTTGCGTTCCACACCCGCTGGGTTGCATCCACTAGTTGCTTCAGTGGAGCATCTTCTGACATGGCACACTTCTCCCTCAGACAGCCTGGAAGACATTGAAAAAACAAATGCTTGATTAGTTCATATGGCTATCCAATTGCTTCAGAGTAATCTCAGACGCCCTGATAAACTGCACCCTCTAGAGTGATGAAAAAACCAGAGGAGCTTGACCACTAACCAGGCGTCAATCATGAATAGCCGAAAGTAGTCACTTACAGAACATGTTCCCCGAGGACGTGGACGCGTGCGTGGACGTGTGTGCGTGGACGTGTGTGCGTGCGTGGACGTGTGTGCGTGCGTGGACGTGTGTGCGAGCGTGTACGTGTGAGTGTACCAGTCCGTCTGCAAATCTGATCGCGAAAACCCTTCCCATGGCCCGGGAGTGAATGTCGGGGCGTCGCCTCCACTCACCTCGAGTCTTCAATGGTATCCCTAGATTCCGCTCCAGGCCCTCCCACGTCCGTGACGATCTGGCGCAGAAAATACGAAGCCATCATCGGGAATAACAGCGACGAGCCGACTATTCTCACTCCCATCTCCGGGACATCTGGCAGCAACAACCACCATCTGTCTGCAAGACCCGTGGTGGAGCGAAAATTGTCAAGAAGTCATTAATATAAGCCTCTGCAATCACCTCGGCCTCCTTAGAAGAATCGTGTCAGATGGTCAATCAGAACAAGAAGATACCTATACCCACAAGCCACAGTCTACAAAATCAGCTGACACCTTTTCGAAGGGAGTTGATACCTCTGGTGCAGCTGTAGTGATCGATTTAATTAACCCCTTGCTAATTAGGTCATTAGCGCTGCCACCACCTGGTTAATACGTCCAGGAACAATTAATGTGTGGAAAGGAGAAGACGTCTAGAAGAGTGTAAGATAGCAAGAAAGGAAAGCATGTGTGTAAGAAAAGGAAAAATGACCTAATCAACAAGGGTTTGGTTGGTAACGTGGTAAATCCCGAGGGGAGTGCGTGTCAGCCTTAAGGGCTGATAGAAGGTGGTCAATTGCTTGTCACCAGGTAGCCAGGTAAGTATCATGTGTCTCATAAAAAAGGGTTTAATTAAAAAAAGGGATTTCACTTGTGAAGTCTTAAAATACATTTATTAAAAAAAAAACACTTGAAAACGTTAACACGAAAAATACTCATAAGACAGAACACTTAATACACAGTAAACACTAAAACATACAAAATAAAAAAACGGAACCTAAAACACATTAAAAAAGCGAGCACTCGGTTAAAACTATAAAAAAGGAAACTTAAAATATCCCACCTTACTGCCAAGGATCTTAGCTAATGACTACTAACTAGCCCGGGAACGAGCTAAACAAATCCCCCTCCCTAGATGGCGTGGCAGTCCTTCGCCCATTAAAAACTGTTTTTAAATTTATTTTAAATTTATTAAAAGTTGCTAATAAGATGTTTAAATAAAATATTAAAAGAAGTAACTGTTTAGTAAACTTTAAATTAAAAAGAGTGCTTAAAAATAATAAGAAAACAAGAAAATGGTGACGGTTCCTTAGTTAAGTTCATAAACCTTTATTTAGCAATAAAAAACATTAAAATAATAAAAATATACATAAAAACTAAAGAAGGCAACAGCGCGTGCGGCCGTGCGGAGATTTTCCCCAGTTTCTTTCATGGGAGACTCAAATACTTCGGGCTCCGGCACGCATGGCTCCGTATGGGTCACTACACAGCAGCTAAAGTGGCTCTGTGTGGAGTAACTTTCCTTCGATGGCATGTTGCACATGAGGCGACATAGCTCTTAACATCACGCAACATGTTCGGGAAATAGAATAAATCTCTTAACTTCTGATAAGTTCGAAATGCACCAGGATGAGAGGCGAATGCACTATCGTGTGCAAGCTTCAAAGCGGCTGCACGTAATGATCAAGGGATTACTAACTGATGTACTACAGGTAACTCACGAAAATGATAGAGAACACTGTTTTGTAGAGAAAATTCATCAAGAGCCAAAGGTATCTTCCTTTTTGGCATGCTCTTTTCCTCCAGATACTCAATGATCTCCAGGGATCAACATCAGCAAGATCAATTTGCCCTATGGAACGAGATATATCTGGCACTTTATGTTGCACTCCCTGCTTATAAATGATTTTGAATTGATAATGAGATAGCTCATAAGCCCGACGTGACATTCAAGCACTCTTGGTCTTCCTTGTAAAAACATATACTAATGGACGGTGATTAGTGTACACAGTAAACTGCCTGCCATAGATATACGGATCAAATGCCCTAACTCCTTCTCCAACGGCCAGAGCTTCGGCATCTGTTGCAGAGTAACATGTTTCTGCCACACGGAGTTTTCGTGAAAGGTATGCAACTGCAGAAGGGTTGCCATGAGCATCTCTTTGCATTAAACATGCGCCAATAGCTAATTGTGATGCATCTGTGTGCACCTCAAAGGGGTCATTAAAACGAAGTTTCTGCAACATAGGAGCAGAGGCTAACTTATCTTTCAGAGACTGGAAGGTTTCTTGTTCACGAGTACCCCATCTAAATGGCTGATCCTTCCTAGTTAGCTGTGTTAATGGTGCTGCTATAGCAGTATACTTAAGTACGAATGAACCCTGTTGCACCAAGAAAGCAGTGCACACCTTTTGCATCTCATGGAGGTGTCATATCTACAAGGCTACGCACTTTCTCAGGATCTGGCAAAATACAGTGATGGAATTTCGATTTCTCGGATTTAAAATAACTCCTGAAGGTAAACCCTAAGAATTCTTAAGAATGCTGGTTTTAAGCTCAAGTTCTACAAGATGAAACGTGAAGTCAGAACTATACACTACCTTATCATCCAGATAAGCAAGAGTGTGCCTACCTAAAACTGGGGAAACTACTATGTTCATGGTGTACTGGAATGTCAATGGTACTGTAAAAAGCCTAAATGGTATCCTGGAAAAACTGAAAGAGACAGTAACCATCACTAAATGCAATTTTGGATTTAGCCGACGGTTCTACAGCCACTAACCAATATGCAGAATGGCTATCAAGAAGTGAAAAGACCTGAGTGTCCCTGAGTTCATCTACAAGTTCGTCAATCTAAGGGAGAGGATATGTATCAGCAACTGTTACAGAATTAAGATTTCTGTAATCTACACAAAAGCGTAAACTACCATCTTTCTTCTTCACTAATACAACAGGCGAAAGCCATGGAGACGTTAAAGGCTCCATGATACCAGCCTTCAACATGTCATCACACTCCTTCCGGATCTTTTCTTTAGTTGACTCTGGCAACAACCATTGCCTAGTGCATAAAGGTGTTGTATCACCTGTCGTGATCTTATGTGTTACACCAGGAACCAAACCTACTTCAGTTTTATCCCCAGAGAAGAGAGAAGGGAACTTTGCAAGTACTTCCTTTAACTGTTCCCGTTTCTTTGAGTTAAGGTGACCAAGAGATGGTACAGCAACAAACTCCTAACTACCTACTTCAATTAGTGCCGATTCTGCGATAGCATTTGCTTCTAAAGCAGCATCAATTCTCCTGTTCTCTTTATTGCCTGATAGTGATACTGTGAGATCATCACCTACCTGAGAATCATCTGCCAACTGAAGACCATGCTCCTGCTTAAACTCGTCCTCTTCCCACTCAAAATCTAGTACCTCCTTATGATTGTCCAAATCAACAGCTGTTGCTTTCTGAAAATAGGTTATATTTAGTTCCTTCAACATTGAAAAGATCTGCTTACTCTACTACACAAAAATGAGTGTTACAGGTTTAGCTATTAAATTCACCACAAAACTGAGCATCTATCCTTTTGAGGAACCACTAGAGTCTGACGGATATCAAGTGCAGTTGTGCAACTACTTATTAAGACTGACTTCCCACTGAAACAAAGTGATATGCTTCAAGTGACATACATACCAGTGTGGGCTGGACAAACCGTCTTGCTACAAGGAACCAAACGAGTAACAGGACGTTGTATTGTTGGCTGCAAAAAGGACACAAGTGGCTAAGATTCACCTTTCTCATACTGTAGAGGATATACCACATTATCAAGGTGAAGATAAGCTTCCTGTATATCAGTATCATGTATGATTTTATAATGCACTGCAAATCCAAACCAACAAGATCACCTGGAAATGATATAGCATCAACAACAATAATCCTGTGGATTAGACTTTTACCAGATTTTAAATGAACTTCCTGTGATTGAAGAGCTGGATATGGAAGTCCTTTTCCTGCAACTCCTCTTAGAACTCTATGTGAGATAAAAGATTTGCGTGGTGAAAGGTGTGCAACAGCTTCTTTCTTAATTATGCTTGCCTGGCTTCCAGTGTCAATAAATACCTGCAGAAAATTGCCCTCTATATTTAGCATAACGGTTGGTCGTCCACTAAACCATTTGTGTTGAGTCACCTGGTTGCTGCTCGTGGAACTACACTCTGGGACCCTACCTCCTAAGGTACTGTTCTCCTGATGCAGCAGATCGGGATGTTGAGAAAGGGACAATCTCTCTGGAAATGCCCTTCCCGACAGCACGCCCAACATGTACGAGAAGCTAGCCTCGTTAAATGATCCATGCGGCGAGATGGTCGGCGTGGTGAATAACCATCTGGTCCCTCCTCTTCAATTCCAGCCACCTTGCCTCCAGATCTTGCAGATGAAGGGAAAACACAAGCCGGTCCTTCTACCTCTGCATGGACGCCCATCCTTGCGTTCCACACCCGCTGGGTTGCATCCACTAGTTGCTTCAGTGGAGCATCTTCTGACATGGCACACTTCTCCCTCAGACAGCCTGGAAGACATTGAAAAAACAAATGCTTGATTAGTTCATATGGCTATCCAATTGCTTCAGAGTAATCTCAGACGCCCTGATAAACTGCACCCTCTAGAGTGATGTAAAAATCTAGAGGAGCTTGACCACTAACCAGACGTCAATCATGAATAGCCGAAAGTAGTCACTTACAGAACATGTTCCCCGAAACTTCTGCCGTAGTTTTAACTTGAAATCTGCCCATGCCCTGATGGTGTCAAAGATGGGGCTGTTGATTATCTAGTCTGTATGTCCTCTACAAGATAAAATAAAATAAAATGCCTCAAAGTTTGACTCCCTCTTGGCCGGCGTGAGTCCGTCAGACGTAACACTGAAGAAAAGCACTAGCACCTGACAAATTAATTAACCACTATCTGAGTGCGTGTACATGCGTGCGCGTGTACGTGTGTGCGTGCGTGGACGTGTGTGCGTGCGTGTGTGTGCGTGCGTGTACGTGTGCGTGCGTGTAAGTGTGTGCGTGCGTGGACGTGTGTGCGTGCGTGGACGTGTGTGCGTGCGTGGACGTGTGTGCGTGCGTGTACGTGTGTGCGTGCGTGTACGTGTGTGCGTTCGTGTGCGTGTACGTGTGCGCGTACGTGGACGTGTGTGCGTGCGTGGACGTGTGTGCGTGCGTGGACGTGTGTGCGTGCGTGGACGTGTGTACGTGCGTGGACGTGTGTGCGTGCGTGGACGTGTGTGCGTGCGTGGACGTGTGTGCGTGCGTGGACGTGTGTGCGTGCGTGGACGTGTGTGCGTGCGTGGACGTGTATATGTACATGAGTGTGTGCGGGTATACGTGCGTGTACGTGTGTGCATGTGCGTGTAAGTGTGTGCGTGCGTGTGTGCGCGTACGTGCGTGTAAGTGTGTGCGTGCGTGTAAGTGTGTGCGTGCGTGTAAGTGTGTGCGTGCGTGTAAGTGTGTGCGTGCGTGTAAGTGTGTGCGTGCGTGTAAGTGTGTGCGTGCGTGTAGTGTGTGCGTGTAAGTGTGTGCGTGCGTGTAAGTGTGTGCGTGCGTGGACGTGTGTGCGTGCGTGTAAGTGTGTGCGTGCGTGGACGTGTGTGCGTGCGTGTACGTGTGTGCGTGCGTGGACGTGTGTGCGTGCGTGGACGTGTGTGCGTGCGTGGACGTGTGTGCGTGCGTGGACGTGTGTGCGTGCGTGGACGTGTGTGCGTGCGTGGACGTGTGTGCGTGCGTGGGCG